ATGACATGAAGACATATTTGGTATTTTGCGGCCGTGTCTTACAGATGACAATTTGGAGGTGGAGGAAAGTTCAGGTGAAGAAGAAAAGGAAAGGGAGGTGAATAATGTAAGAACTTGTAACAATGTAAGAATGAATAATTGAAGAATTCATTACAGTTATTCTAACATGCTTAATTGCTTCATGCTTCAGCCAATTAACAGTGTAACACTTACAAAACATAAGCATACTGAGGGAGGGATAGAACAATTAAATAAATGATTTTTCCCATGTGAATGAAGCTTTGATTCAAATATTTTAGGTTAGTGTTTTAAATACCAGCAAAGTGGACAGTAGTTATCTGGGGAGAGAGAGAAAGGTAAGAAACTCCAATGTAGCAATAAAATTTATTGCAAACTGTTTTAAAAAAACTTTTTTGAGAAATACATCCAACTGATTTGACAGAATCTGTATATCATAAAAAGAAGACAACGATAACATTGATATTTTATTTTCATTTTTTAATCGTGTAACTATACCTAATCAACAACAGATTTAACATTATTTCAGGGACGTGGAATCAGTGCAGTAGAAGATGAGGTGTATCAAATTCTCTCTGATCTTCTTAGTGGCAGAAAGGTGCGAAGTGAACTGCAACAGAGATCTAAAGTTAAAGAAACGGGCAAAGCCCGTGCAGCTTTGAGACAATTTGACTCTAGGAAATATTCTCTTAAAGAAATTAATGACAAAACAGAAATCATGTGTGAAGGGAGAGTGGTGCCTAAAAAGTCACAAGTACCCAACATTATCAAAGAGGAACACACCAAAACAAAAGGGGCTGGAAAAGAAAGATTATATTACCACATAAGAAATTCAGTTAGTGGCATTGGCAGGGTTCCAATCCTATCTACACTGAATATAATGCCTCAAAATCGCCCCAAATTTGACAATGCGCCTCAGATAAAACCAGTTGCTGCCTCTCACCCCCAAAAGATCAATCAAGTGGATCTTATAGACATAAGTAAATATAAGATAAAAAATGGGTACAAATATATTTTAGAAATTTTGGATGTGTTTAGTCGTTTTGTAAAACGAGTGGCATTAAAAGAGAAGTCTTCTGAGGCCGTGGCAGCTGTGCTGTGCAGCCACTTTGCTGTTGTGGGGCCTCCATCAATACTGCAGGCAGACAATGGTGGAGAATTTAAGGGTGCCACTTAAAACCAGTTGTTGCCTCTAGTCCCCAAAAGATCAATCAAGTGGATCTAATAGACATGAGTAAATATAAAAAAATGGGTACAAATATATTTTAGAAATTTTGGACGTGTTCAGTTGTTTTGTAAAACGAGTGGCATTAAAAGATAAGTCATCAGAGGCCGTTGCAGCTGCGCTGTGCAGCCACTTTTCTGTTGTGGGGCCTCTGACAATTCTGCAGGCAGACAATGGTGGGGAGTTCAAGGGTGCCACTCAAGCACTGATGGAGAAATTGGGAGTAAAGATAATTAATGGCCGCCCATACCATCCACAATCGCAAGGCAAGGCAAGTGCTGACACATGTAAAGATCACCTATACTGTCAAGATTACATCGCAAACTGATGCCATATATTTGTCTAGGTTGAACGCAGTCATCAGGGATTCCAAAGAATGATGGAACAAGATATGGCAGAACATGGTCCAAGCTTTGACTGGACACAAATGCTGTGTACATTCGATTTTCTTCAGAATAACCTGGCACATTCATTGTTAGGTACATATATGGTCTACAGGTTCAACATGACATAGATCTTTTGTACTTTGTCATTAGTAACTATAATACCTTTTGAAATGAGCAGTGTTATCCCTGCCCTAATGAGTCTTAGAGGTGGTTACGTAAGCAAAAATTTGGGGGGGGGGGCGG